ACAACTGGGCTGTCCGATCGCGAGCCAGAAGCCGTCTGGCGGAGTGGTCCACGGGGGACTATGGCTCCCCCCCGCGTGCTCAAAGTAGACCCTTCATAAATTGCCTTGGGGGGGCGGCGTGATGATAGGAGCGCAGCCCCACGAGGCTCTGGGTGTCGCCTCGGTGTGGGCGGTGCTTACCGCTTGCTTCGGTAGACTTCCCCATCGCGGTGGAGTGGGTGCCCGTCGCCTTGGTGTAGTAGCCCGTCGCCAGGGAGGTTAAGCCTGTGTGAGCAGGGTGGGGGGGGGCGGGGACCGGGGTGATGGGAGCGCGGCCGCGCGAGGGTCGGGGTGTGGCCTTGGTGTGGGCGGCGCTTACCGCTTGCTTCGGTGTCGAGCCCCATTGCGGTGGAGGATGCGCCCGTCGCCTTGGTTTCGAGCCCCATTGCGGTGGAGTACTGGCCCGTCGCCTTGGTTTCCTTACCCGTCGCCAGCGAGATGTAGCCTGTATGGGCAGGGCGGAAGGGGGGGCGGGGTGATGGGAGCGGGGTCGCGCGAGGGTCGGGAAGTGGCCTCGGTGTGGGCGGTGCTTACCGCTTGCTTCGGTTTCGCTCCCCATTGCGGTGGAGCGGTCGTTCGTCGCCTTGGTGTTGTAGCCCGTCGCCAGGGAGGAGCCGCCTGTGTGGGCAGGGTGGCGGGGGGGGGGCGGGGACGGGGTGATGGGAGCGCGGTCGCGCGAGGGTCTGGGAGTGGCCTCGGTGTGGGCGGTGCTTACCGCTTGCTTCGGTAGACCTCCCCATCGCGGTGGAGGCCGTGCCCGAAGCCACCGTCCCGTGGCCGGTCGCTGTCGATTGGTTACCCGACGCAACGGTGTCTTTTCCGGCCGCAGTGGCGTCTGCGCCCGAGGCTACGGAAGATTCGCCGAACGCGGTAGCGTGCAAGCCTGATGCGCAGGTGCGGTAGCCCGCGTGGAAGGAGTGGTGATACTCGTCGTTCTCGACGGTTTCGTCGATGCCATCGACGCCGCACGTGGCGCCCGGGTCGATCGGCGCGAAGGCGGACACGGCCGCCACGAGGAAGAGCATGCGGACCTGTGAGCGGGCAAAGGGGCGCCGGCGCGTGATTGCGGCCAGCGCGTGGGAAAGCGAAGATGGCGCGAGGGCGAGGTGAGGGCGCGGCCGAGCGCGAGGGTATATGCCTGCTTGATGGCCATGTTGGTTGTAGACCTGAGCGCGTTGGGTGCGTGGGGCGCCGTCAGGCGAATCGGGCTGATTGCATTGCATACGATGCCAGATGTGCGTGCAAACGGCTAGGGGGGTCTGATCATGTGAGAGGAGGGGCGAGTGTGGGAGGGGGAGCAATGTCCAGACGCGACGCGTCCTGCGCTACACAGGAGACGGGGCTCAGAGGCGGCGGATTGCGGCGGCGGCGGCGGCGCCGCCGCGGCGGCGGCGGCGGCGGTGGCAGCGACGGAGGCGGCGGCCTGGGCGGCGACGAAGGGGCGGTGCCAGCGAGGGCAGCGGCGGCCTCCCGTGCCCAGTCACGCGACCTGTGAGGGAAGATGGTGGCGGCGGCCATAGTGGCGGTGGTGGTGGTGGTGATGTGTGGGCACTGTCAAATCATCCATGTCATGGGCGCCGTCTCGAGGCAGAGAGGTGGCGGTGTGCGGCTGGAGGGCGCTGCCGCGGGGGGGTGGATATCACACAGCATGTGAGGGCGGCGCGGCTCACGGGCGGCGGCGCGGAATTGGTTCTTGTGGACGGGGGGCGGCCGCGGCGGGCAAGAGGGAGACGGGAGAGGGCGGAAGGGGGAAGGGCAGGATCGAGCGGGGTAGGGGAGGCGGGCCTTCGTCGTACTCCTTGCTGAATCGTCGAGCGGGCCAAGCAGCTCTGGAGCGCGCCGCCGGTTCTTGGCGACCACGAGGTTTGGTTGTGCGCCGCGCGCGCGGGGGCCGCGCCAAGCCCAGTATAGCGTCGAAGGTGACGAGAAGCCGAAGATGAGGTGGGGAGAAGGGCTGGGAAGGGGGGGTCGCGGTGTCCATGGCAGATCTACTGGGTAGATCTATACGAAGGTGCGATGCGCCCTCATTGCGGTCGATGTACCTGCAGGAGAGTGTGGTGGAGGCGTCAAAGCCGCGAACGAGGGTCCGGCGGCGAGGGGCGAGGCGAGAGATCGGGCGGAAGGCGAGATGTGCAATGCGAGGCACTCGGGCCCCACAGTCGGGCGCGGTCGTGTGTGGCGGGCGTGGCTCGCGGCGGGCAGGAGCAGGAGCATCAAGAGGTGATGCTGACGCCGAGTGAGCGAGTGCCGTGCGCGACTTGTGCCGAGGCGAGATGGCGAGATATGTGGGGCGAGGCCCGCGGCCGAGTGGCACGCTTCGCCCGGTGGGAGTGAGAGAGCCCCAACTCCCCGCCAAGCGGCGAGAGAGGGCGAGAGCTTGGCAGCGCCATGGCACACCTTTGTTGATTGCTGGGTGGGGAGTATGATCCGCGGCCTTTTGGACCCACTCACTTTCCAAGACATTACCTGTATCTTCGCGCACGAGCTGCAAAAACAAACAAAACAACGCGCTAAGTCTCTCTCTCTCTCTCTCTCGTCGAGCTGCAAGCTGGCGAGATTTTGCTATGACCGGCTAGCCCACGCCGACTGCGCGCGCGCCCCGCGCGGCGTATCGGCGTCTGCCAATTTAGCATGCCCATTTGGGCATCATGTGTGTGTGAGTGTCTCGGGGGGGGGGGGGGGGAAAGGGGGGGGGGGGGGGGACCCCTTCCCAAAAACCCCCCTCTTGGAGCGCCCCCCCCCCCACCCCAAAGCGCTTAAAATCATTGCCGGGGAAAAAAAGGGTTTAACGCCCCCAAGCTAGCCTGCCTTGGGAACCCCCGGGGAAGCCAAATGGGTGGACCCCCCAAACCCCCCTAAT